AATCAATTTAAGTGAAAAACTCATTTTCGGTTTATGAGTACACAATGGCCAAGAATTTCATTATCAACTTAATTAGATGAAATATAGATCATAATCTCTTACTATCTAAAAGCAACAAATCATCTATTGATCATTCATAACCTTTATATGATTCTCAATATATCCGATCGATGTCATATTAGCGTTCCTTGGCAGAACAATATTCAACATCACCAAAGTATGACTATCATAATATAAGGCACTATAATGATTTTTCCATATCAGAATATGCATTGGTCTTTTGAAAGTTTTTTGAATTAACTTTGGGGAAAATTGAGTTCTAGATATATTAGCCCATATGAGATTATTGAAAGCATTTGTTTAGTTGGTTATCGATTGGCCTTACCAACGGAATTGTTCAGACTTCACGATGTGTTTCATGTTCCCATGCTTCGTAAATATATTCAGATCTGTCTCATGTTTTGGGATTAAAACCAGTGGAGTTAAAGGAAAATCTTACCTATGAAAAAAAATCAGTTCAAATATTGGACAAAAAGGAACAGGTCTTGTGTAGTAAGACCATTCCTTTAGTTAAAGTCTTACAAATGAATCATGCTATAGAAGAAGCAACGTGGAAAAGTGAAGAGCAGATACGTTCTCAGTATTCACGACTTTTTCATAATTGATCAATTGAGTTTTGAGGATGAAATTATTTTAAGTGGGTAAGTTTTGTTATACCTTAATTCAAAGGGAAAAAAGTTAGTCAAACATATATTAAAAAAAAAAAAGAAACCAAACAAAAAATAAAATAAAATAATCATAAATGCGTTGGATTGATTTGGTTTATATCAATACAATTATATCCAAATCCATTCATACACAAAGCACACACAACACACTGAGAAAGAAAACGAGGCAGGAAAGAAAGAAGAAGAAGAAGAAGAAAAGGAAAAAATATAAAAGTTCCCAACGTGAATAGAAAATAAGTGCTTTCTACTATTAAGTTTGAATTCTTGAATTTCAAAGGTAAGTAAAAAGATACTTATTGAACAATTATGTTTAATTTTAGAGTTGTTAGATTATTAGTTTCAATTCGATTTTATTGAAAGGGAACTACTAAATTAAGTATATTGAGCTAGGAAATTAAGTTAAAGAGAAGAAAAAATAGCTTAAGTGATTAAAGGTATTGAGAAAATTGCTTAAGTATAAAAAGATTAGGATTTAGTATCGCCTATTTAATTATTGACATTACTTAAAATAATTAATTGTTAACCTAAAAATTGTATCATATTTCAAGCGACAATATGGAGATCGGGACAACCTATCAATCGAATTGATTTTGACGACATTTTCTGTGAGTCGAAAAACTTATATATTTTCAAATATTGATAAATTAATTATACTATTACATTATGTGCAATTATGTGAATTTCTTGTGCAATTACATGATTATTATGAAAAGTTCTTTCACTATGATATCTGTGAAATCATAAAAGTTGTACATGGATTACGTATGAATTGGAATGTAACATGTGATATTGAGATCAACCAAAAAGTACCCATGCATGATTATATATTTTTTCTAGTTCACAGAGGAGCTTTGGCCCCTTTCTTTTTAATCCTACATGGAGGGTCTTGACTGTGTAGATATGGTTCACAGAGTGGGTTTTGACCGTGTCCTAGAATTGATTATTAGATGTTTTGAGACTCGCTTTCATCAATGAAGGGGACCTAAGACAATGGCGAAAGTTTTTAGCCAGAGGGGCAGATTACAAAT